TTCGATTACTTCATCACACATCAAATTGAGCAACTACCAGTACAAGCAGAGTTCATCGCAAGTGAAACGCGTAAAGATCCGCACTTAAGCAAGATCATTCAGATCCTGGAGAAGGGTCAATGTTTATCCCGGTTTGGATATAAAGCACCGGAAACAAATTACACGCTGTCAAGAGGCTGTTTACTCTTGGAACATCGAGTTATAATACCCCCGTCATTGCGATCTGCAATTCTTGCCGATTTACATGCAGCGTATATTGGCATTGTCAAAATGAAGGGATTAGCTCGCTCCTTCGTCTTTTGGCCAGGTATAGATGCAGATATCGAGGCCAACGTGAAAGCATGCACAGATTGCGGAAAGCATGCACACGCACCACCGGAGTATCGTGAACATCACTGGGAGTACCCCAACGGATCTTAGGAAAGGATTCATATTGATTACGCAGGTCCGGTCGCAGGTGTAATGATGTTGATTATCGTGGACGCTTATAGCAAATGGCTAGAAGTAAAAGTGACAAGTTCTACGACATCGCATGCAACTATCAGAATTCTAGATAAATTGTTTGCAGCCTACGGCGTTCCAATTACAGTCGTGTCCGATAACGGCACTCAGTTCACGTCAGCGGAATTCAAAAAATTCCTTCAGTCAAGAGGAGTCAAATATCACAAATTAACGGCTCCATACCACCCCGCAACGAATGGCCAAGCCCAGCGCTACGTTCAGACCGTCAAAGATGCACTCAAGGCTATAGCGACTACCAAGGACACGTTGCAACAAAATCTCAACGAATTCTTGCGACAGTATCGCAAAGCTCCGTACACAACCACGGGTCAACCTCCTTCGCAGCTGTTCTTAGGACGGAACCTGCGCACCCGCCTAGATTTGGTGCGACCCGGCAAGAATACTGTTGCAAAGACAGACAGGCCTCAAAGACAATTGAGCTCGTATGTAAGAACATTCCAACCTTCGCAGGCAGTTTATTTTGTTTCAGGCAATCCGCGCATGGACAGGTAGATTCCTGGAGTTATTGCAGTTCGGCTAGGAGATCTCCACTATGAGATCGAGTACAATGGTCGACGCTTTAAGAGGCATGTTGACCAACTCAGAAGCCGTCAAGAAGAGCAGAAAACGAAAAGGCAACCAGGGTCTACTGAGATGACCAGCCAAAATGCAAAAGACCAGGATCGATCGCGACGTATCCGTTATCACGGGGCGATTGGAGAAACAGCAGCAACCCAACCTGTTACTGCACCGGTAGCACCTCCAGTCAACGTTCCGGCCCAGACAACGCCTCCGCCTGCACCCACTTCGGCGCCGACACCGCGCCACTCTCAGCGACCGCGTCGACCCCCGGACAGATACACCCCATCTTAATAGTTCAAGGTTTATTTGTAGGGGAGGAAATATTATGTATTAGAGTCTAGTTTGTAAACCCGCCAACTGTATGGTACCTTCTTCCCCCTCTTTTCTTACACTCTAGTGTGTGTTATGGCCGCTAGTAACGAGCACGCAACGTGTGTATCCGTGTCTCTTAATAAAAGTGCCAGTACGAGTATTAACGAGTTCATTGACAATCCCAATTCCCCGGTCAATACACAATAATTATTAAAACCTTAAAACGAATTTTTTGTTACTTTTATTGTTTTCCTAAAAAAAATTTCCAAAGTTACCGATTGATTTTTAGGCGGTCAAGGTGGTGTAACCCCTTAAATACAATTTATACGCAATTTATTAATTTTTAAAAACATTGAGATTCGAACCTGAGATCTCTAGAACAACAGACTTGTACCCAAACACTGAGCTAATGATACTTCGTACAATGGACTTATTTCCATTATACATTCTATGCTTTTGACAATGAGTTTTCTGTCTAAACAAATACTGTAGAAACTGATTGAAATAAGAATGTATATAAACAACAAATAAAATAATCTGTATTTTTTACAAATACATCAGGGTGTTTAAATATTAAAAAATATATATATATATACGAAGTCTGTTCAAAAAGTAGCACGAATTTTGTGTTTTTTCAAAAATTATTTATTTATTCATGAATATCTATTTTAGCGTTATCGTTGCCAACGTTATTTTTGTCCTGAAAAGGACAGTTTTGTGTGTTTGAGAGATCAACCAATATTGAAAGAGATTTGGGCCGAGCCCTGAAAAGGACTCGGCGAAGAGCGTCAAAAGCTTTCTTCAGAGGCAAGGCTGTCGGCTCCGACGAGGACGTCTTCTTCTTCTGACTTTAGATGGAGACAGAAAAGTCCGTTTGTGTAGCCCTTGTAACCCGATCGGCTCTTCTTGGCTCTGGAGGTAATGGAGATAATCTTCGTGGCAGCTCCGGCCACGTAGGAGAGATTGGTTTCCGCGCCCTGACGTCCCACAGTGCCACCAGAGAATTTGGCGGCCTGGTGAGCGGTCCGTTAGGAAGCTCGATCGGAATCAGGCGCCACCGGGGTCGAAGCCTTTCGTCGAGTTCCTCAGATTGACCTCCACCGGGTACTGCTGGTGAAGGGTTACCAGTTTCCACCGATGAGAAGCTACTGGGCTTCTCGGACGGACAAGCTGACCGCCTTGGTGTGGGTACGGATAACCCTCGAGGCTCCTTTGCAGCCGAGCTGGCAGCCTCAAGGCTTCGTCGCCCCGAAGGGAGTTTTGACGGCCGAGATCGGATACGCTCGAGGTTGATCTCAGAGAGAGGCTCTCGATTAATGATGGCGAGGTATACGACCTGCTATCAGTTTTGCCGCGAAGGCAGAGGATGCTCGAACCGGTTCCGGAGCCCTCTTATATTGACTCCGCAATTGTTTTCTCCTAACGCAAAAGCGTAAATGCTCGGCGCCACCAAGCGGCGGATCGAGAAGTTCGGCGCGCGCTTATTTACAAATGGTGGCGGCTCGTTGCCGCGTTATCAAACGTATGTCAACGGTGATTCCGCCACATCTATTTTGTCCCCTTCAAAGTAATCCCCATCAGATATTATACACTTGTGCCAACGTTTTTTCCAATCCTCGAAGCATTTCAAAAAATCATTTTTTGTGATCTTGTTCAGCTTTTCCTTCGATGCCGTCTTTATCTCCTCAATCGTAGCGTAGCGTCGTCCTTTCATGGGCCTCTTCAGTTTCGGGAACAAGAAAAAGTCACAGGGGGCCAGATCTGGGGAATACGGTGGCTGCGGCATCATTAGTGTGTTGTTTTTGGCCAAAAATTCGCGCACAAGCAACGATGTGTGAGCAGGGGCGTTATCATGGTGCAAAAGCCAATTTTTGTTCTTCCACAAATCCGGGCGTTTCTGGCGGATTGCTTCGCGCAAATTGCGCATAACTTGCAGGTAATATTCCTTATTGA